TCATGGGCGGCTTGAGTCAGAAAAATTCACTTTATACTTGATATTTTGGGTCTTGTAGGGAGAATTGCGTGATCACATGTACATGATCACAGTCTTGAAATCTTAAACTAATCCTTTTACTTCTGTAGCTATTCGCATAGATAATTGAAATTAATTTCTTTTCTTTTCAGGGTCTGCTGGTCCAACGGAGAAAGTAAAGCCTCATCAAATAAAAAATGCACTTTTGTTTTGTTTTCCTTTGAAATAATTCGATTTTACACTTCACTGGCTTTACAATAAATGACCTTTCTCCGAATTTTAATTCATATCATTGTTTTACTGAAAAAAAATCCTGAAATTTTCTTACTTTCTTGCTTGTTATTCCTTTATTCGATGAGAATATAGATCAGATTTCAGTATTATTTAGAATGTTTATAAATTGTAAAATAAATCAAGTTTTATGTCGTAAAAAGAATGTCTATTTTTAACTGAATACAAACCCATATCCCACTTTTCACCTTTCAGTTTGAAAGTACCTATTGTTTTATCTGAAGGTTTTCGTATTTTTGCTCATCCGGGTGCTTGTCATTAATAGATTCAAATCGCTTAAGAGGAAATTCACGAAACTGTTTAGAATTATTTTGTTTTATCTCACGCTCAAGAAGATAATGTATTTAAATTCTGATGTAAACATTCTTATTATAATTATTCAAAAACAAAAAAATCAAAATAAATATGCTGAAAAAAGTAGAAGAGAATAAAAAACAGAACTCCTTAAGTTATAGGTTGTAGATCGAAATGGGAGCTGATTCTCAAACTAGTAGCCTAGCTTGATATCTATACCCTTGATAGCTATATCTTCAACATATAAGGAGTTTGAGGCAGCAAAGTGATACGTTACATTCTTTTCCAATGTTGATATTTTCCCTCAATGTGTATCTAAGTGTTGTTTCCAGGTAGGTACTCCACGAATTTGCGGAATATCCCCTAGAGAGCAGCACAATGGATTGAAGCATCCTATAGTTGGCAAAATAATCGCTTCCTTTTTCAGCAGAAACATTTGTCAAAAACGCTCTCCTTTATAATTTAGAAATGCAGCTCATTACTTTATTGCCCCAAACATAAAACCTATATTACTTGTTCTGGAAAAACGTTTTTAGTACGGTAAAACATCCCTAAATGGAAAGTTTTAAGCAGCTCGAATATAACAGTACAAACACTTGTGATTGGATTTTAACAAGTACTGCTAATTTAAATATTCATTTGATTAACATAGCACGACATTTATGAGGAAGTACAATTTTTTTCTAGTGGGCTCCCCCCCCCCTGGTTCGCAGACTTCCGAAGACTGGTCTCTAATTTTATATGGTTGCTTTGAAAACTATGTACGCTTCTCTCGCTATTAAGTTAAGCATGCTAAGCTTAACATTTTGAATGTTAATTTAAGTTTAACATTTAAAATGTGTTCTAGCGTAAATCATAAGAGCAAAGCAATTATTAAAATATTTGAAATTAATTCCTCTTTAAAAAATTCGAATTTTTAGTCGGAAATTAGTCATTGAAATAAAAAGTTTTAAATTGAAATAAATGAATGCAATAGAAAAACGTTCAGAAGCAAAATAATAAAAATGGTTTTAAAAAGCAGGTACTACTAAAGATTTTCAGAATTATAAATTTTAGAACTTTCGGCAATAACTGTAAAGCTACTGTTATTATTGCGAATAAAATAATTATTATTGAACCTGTATAGGCATAGTTAAAAAGTAATATCGACACTTTTCTCGTTGATATGAATTATTCGTTTTTAACCTTTCTGTTTTTCCCAATTCATAGCTCAGTTTGTTTCAGCTTTTTTTTTGTCCACGCGAAAAAGGAATTATTCTTCTGAAAATCGTTAACATGTACGTTTACGCTTTCATGCTTATGACAGCTCTCATGCTTAGTATCTTAATTCTTTCTAGTTCTTAATTTTGTAGCTAGTGTGAAAAAGAAAAGAAGACTTTCTTTGTAGTGATGATGGAATGGGAAAAAAAATTTAAAAAAAAAGTGTCGCTGAGGTTATAGGTCAGGTGGTTGAGTATCAGATGTCTTCTTCTCGAGTTGAAAGAATTCGACTATATTTATGCTTTATACTTAAACTATTTATATTCATTATATTTACTACATCTGATGTTAAAGTTCATTTAAGGTGTTTATTAAAAAAAAACTTTTATTTACACGCATTTCAAATAAACAAGTTTTTAAATATACTTGAAAACTTTTTTTGTAAATTTTTCCAATAAATCATAGTTACAAGCTTTATTAATATTTTTTTTTAAGATTACGGTTTGATGCTTTTACATAATATATTATTATAAAGTTATTCTCAAACTTTGTAAAGAGCTACTGAGAATTTAAGAAAAATTTATTTTTTCATATTGTAATATTTTTAAGCACAATAAAATTTGCATAAAAGCTCCAGTACCTTTTTGAACTTTGTAATGGATTCACCAATTGGGACTTATTTTATATTGACGTATAAATGAAAAGTCATATAAAAATCTACGAACATGAAGAGAATGTTCTTTTTTTAATTTTTTTTCTTCAAAAAAGTGAAAAATGAAGTGAATTATCCAAATATGCCTTCAATAAATTTTTATGATATGTGTATCCTGCATTAGAGAACGAAAAATAAGTCTTTTTAATCGCAATTTGAGAAGTTTTAAAAGGAAAGTATTTAATAAATGTATACAAATGAAACTATACAAAAAAGCTTGCAAAAATTTAAATGAAAGTATTACTCGAAATTTGAATTTCTTTTTAAACACAACTACTACTTAAGTTAAAATAATTTTTATCATAATTATTAACATTTTACAGAATATTTTATGCATTTCCACATTTTCTCTTATTATAGGATGTTTGTGGCTTTTATCTTGTATGATTTTAATATTGATAATGTTCAAACTTCTTTGATTTGGGGAAAATTGTCAGTTGTAAAAGATATTTTAGTAAGAGGTATAATTAAACACAGTCGTGAATGTATTATATGACAATGAAAAAAATTCTCAATTTTTTTTAATAAGAAATATATTTGAATCTAATAAATTACGCGAAATGCTATAATTATTTTTAATTATGTGCGAAACAAACTTAATAATATTGAAAAAAGGGAACTTTAAGGTTTGTCAGATACTATGCTTGTTTGCTTATAGATCTGTTATATTTTAGATAGTATAATATATATTTTTGGAAATTGTTTTTGATTGTTTTGGGAGAGTAGGATACGTACTACATAGTAACTAAAATTCAGCATAATATATACAGATATAATTCAATATTATGCTTACTAAGGTAAAAGTTTAAATTTAGCAATTTTATTTTTTCTGATTAAAAAATTCTCCTTCAAAGTTTGTTATATTTTTATGTTTCAAAATTTTAGCGATAACTTTCCAAAAGTATAAATTTGAATAGTGATTAAAGAATAGTGAATATTTGAAAAAGAATAATAAAAAACACTCCAGAAGAAAGTAACTCTGAATAAATGGTTTGTCTAAATAAATTTTCTGAATAATCTGCCTAAAATTAGAAAAAATATTTGTATACTTTTTTATGGAATAATTTTTAATTAATTGAGTACTACAATAATTATTTTAATACAATATGTTAGCATGAAATACTTATCATCCATGAAATCAGTCAGTTTCGTTCAAAATTTAAGTAATTATAAAGCATTAGTGCAAAATTCAGAAGATATTGTTTTTCATGTTTTGTAGCATAATAATGATTCATAAATTGGTTTAATTCAATAGAATATATTTTGAACAAAAAAGTTTTATCTTTACCAAAAAGGCCAGATTTTTTTTAAAAAAAATAGTTCAATAAATTGCCGTAAAATTTTATTTTTAAAATTATGAAATGATTTTAAGAATTAAATTACTTGTCATATTTCAGAACACTAATTTTTATAATCTCTAAAATATTTTTAGAATAAACAGGGTGAATTAACACTTTGTAATTTATTTTGGGTATTAATTGCTTTAAATTTTTTTATTGGAAAAACATTTAAATGGTAAAATTGCTCTGTAAAAATTAATTACTATTACGTTCTTCTTAAATTGCAATATTCAGCTTTTCATAAATAGTTAAATTATTGAAACGAAATAAACGATGAAAATTATATATGTTTACTTATTTCGTGTTTTTTGCAATTATTATAATAACATTCATGATAATATTAACTTTCTTTCTTGGTTCTTTAATATTAACTTTACTAAATACATGAATTTATTATTATTTACATTTTTAAACTTAGATAAATTATTAAAAAAGGGATAATGATAAAGAAATTTTTTTCTGCTAGTAAGTTTTGCACGGATTTATAAAAATTGAAATTTAGCATTATTTTTTGGAGTTTATTTTCATATAATTTTTTGCAGATTATAAACAAAAAAAATTGCATTACTAATCTTAAAGTTACACAAAGCAATATATAATAATGATTAAATTTAAAACTAATTCCATTCCATTCATTTTCAAATGTTATATTATTTAATAAACGATTACAAATAATTTTATGGAACATATTAACAAAAAACTTGCAGTACGGGTCTTAATGTTACATAATACCAATATATGTCATAATCATTAAATTTAAAATTTCTCTTATTCAATTAATTTTCATTCATTGCGTTTTTTACCAAATAAAATGAATAATTTCAACTACTTTTTCGTAAAACATTAACAGAATATTTGCAATATTAAGATCATACAATACAAATATATCATACTAAATTTAAAATTAATTCCCCTCCATTAATTGGCAGAAAATTTACAGTATAGATCTTAAAGTTAGGCAATACAACTATATCATATTAACTAAATTTAAAAATAATTCTTTTTCATTCATTATATTTTTTAATACACTTAAAAATGAATAATTTGAAACGCTGAGATGTAATTTTAAAAAAGTAAATCGAAATGTAACAGCTATGTTTATCCTAAATGTTACATAAATTAGAAAAAAAAAAAAGAGAACTCACATGGAACAGAATTCTATTCATGATTGAATGAAATCGTAATCCGTCAAAATTCGAACTTTCTTGAAGTGATAGGCAGAGAAACTACGATTCCTTCATAATGGGAGACGGAGCTTATATAGTGGAATTATAGCGTGCGCGTTCAACTGGAGAAAGTGTAGACATTAGTAGGTCAGCGGTCGTCCGTTAGGGGGCGGGGGTAACTATTCACACGATGGTGTTGTCTTTAATTTACTATTCATTAATATTTGGGTGTGAGATTTCGATTATTGTGTTTATTCTTGTAAGCGAAGGCCGGTATTGTTTCCTTTTCCTTGTTTCCTTATTGGTCCACAATTTGCTTGCTCTTTTCATGAATTTATTAGTTTCATAATTGTCACGGCAAAAATCGATTTATGCATACCGCAAATATTGTGTAATTATTTATAAATTGTGTTGAGTTTTAAATTTTTCGAGCCTTTTTTGTTTTTGTTTTGAATTAATTAAATTTTAATGACAGTTGCGGCTGTTAGGTTTTGAAAGTTGTATGGGATATCGCATGATATCGCAATGTACTATAGTGTACATATTGCTTAATGCTGACAAGATATAGCACAGTATCATTTCATTTCATGCTAGCAGGGCATCAGACTATAGTTAAGTATTACTAAAGTTGCAGGCAAGTTACGTTCCAGATATTGATATAAAATCAATGTCAGCGTAATATGAAATTAGTTTCACTCAAGAAAGAATGAAACTATACCGAAATATAGGATGAGTTTTATCTCAGCTCCAGAAAACGTTTCAGAAATAAAAAAAAGGCATAAGTTTGAGCAAAGGCATAAAATAACAATATAACGTAATTTACAATTAGTTTCACTTAATAAATAATAAATAATGGCGAAGTTTTATTTCAACTTCAGATGACGCATCAGATATTAATGATTAAGTCTTGGGTTTGACTCTTGTAAATCGAGAATAACAATGCAGCGTAATATCGAATTAGTTTAATGCAAGAAAGAATAAAACTATGTCGAATTATGTGATGAATTTGATATCGGCCTCGGACGACGTTTCAGACGTTACTGAGAAAGGCTTGAGTTTGAGTTAAGGTTCGGAATAACAAAGTAACGTAATATCGAATAGTTTCACTCATAAAGAATGAAGCTATATCGAATAATGGATAAGTTTGATTTCAGATTTAGACGACATATCAGGTATTGATGAGAAAGATTTGGGTTTGTGCTAATGTTCAGAATGACAATACAATGTAATTATTAAATTAGTTTCACTAAAAAAAGAATAAAACTATACCAAATTATGAAATGAGTTTAACCTCAGACTCAGACGATGTTTCTGACCTTAATGAGAAAGGTTTGGGTTCGATCTAAGGTCGAGAATAGCAATGTATAATAATATCGAATTAGTTTCACTCAAGAAGGAACAAAACTGTACCGAATTTTGTGATGAGGTTTACATCAGTCTTGGATGAGGTTTTAGAATTTAATGAGAAAGACTTGGTCGAGCTAAGGTCCAGAATAGCACTGTAACGTAATATCGAATAGTTTCACTCATGAAACAATGAAGTTATACCAAATGATGTGTAGCTTCAGATGACGCATCAGTTATTAATGAGAAAGGCTTGGGTTTGATCTAAGGTCTGGAATAACAATGTAACGTAATATCGGATTAGTTTCACTCAAGAAAGAATAAAACTGTACTGGATTATGTGATGAAGTTGATTTCAGTCTTTGACGAGGTTTCAGACCTAAATGAAAGAGACATGGGTTTAAGCTTAGATTCAGAATAACAATGTAACTTACTATCGAATAGGTTCATTAGTCATAGTTTCATTACCGAATAGTTACATTAAAGAATGAAGCTTTACCGAATAATGGGCAAGTCTGATTTCAACGCCAGAGGATGCGTCAGATATTAATGAGAAAAGCTTAGGCTTGAATAATAAAATGCAATATAGAATTAGTTTAACTCTAGAAAAAGGGAAACTGTAACGAATAATGGGAAAAACTACGAAGATGCGTTTGTCTAGAGTCACCTTCGAAGTGCTTTTGTCCTTTTAAATGGACTCGAATTAGAAGAATGTTAAGATAAATTTTATAGTTCTTTAACCCAGGTGAACTGTAGCTTAGAATTTCTAATTCTTAATTAAAACAAGAAAAATAAAAAACATTATTAAAATAATGAAATTCTCTTCTATTCAAAACTCGAGAAGTATTTTATAGGATCTCTCTGGTCCCATATCCCAAAAATAAACTCACCAAATCAATGCATTATAAAAATAAATGAAAAAAAAAATTCTAAAAAAATTATCAAACAGCATCGGTCGCCATAACAACACATGCAATGACGACGCATGCGCACTTTTTACTTTTGAACACCAGGTTAAACGGGACTGTGTTCCAATACCGAGTATGATCGTTGTTTAGGTTTTCATCGGTACTGAGGAACACGGCTTTGAGTTCTATTCTTGTTGTTAATTATGGAAAGTTTTTACAATTTTCTTATCCACATCAAGGTAACGCTGGTTAATTCCGTTTAAAATAACATTTCCAAAGAAGATTTTCACTTGATACACAGTTAAGAAGATATATCTGACTTCTGAGTTCGAACTTAAAATGTTTTGTAGTTTCAACTTTGAAAAACTAACATTCGTGATGCATACAGCCTTTTAATCATCGGTAATAAAAAATGATATCAGGCGCAGAGCACTATTTCTTTCAATAACGTAATATCGAAAGTAATATCTTAACGTAATATAGAATAGTTTCACTCATGAGAGAATGAAGTTACATCAAATAATGTGTAAGTCTGATTTTAGCTTCAGATGACGCATCATTTATTAATGAGAAAGGCTTGGGTTTGATCTAAGGTTTAGAATAACAATGGAACGTAATATCGGATCAGTTTCACTCAAGAAAGAATAAAACTGTACTGAATTATGTGATGAGGTTTATTTCAGTCTTTGATGAGGTTTCAGATCTAAATGAAAAAGACATGGGTTTGAGCTAAGGTTGAATCTAGACCAGGGGTTTTCAACTTACATGAGACCGGTGGGACGCAATTAAAAACACAAATCAAATGGCGGGCAGCAACTTTATCAAAATTTTATGTAGGACACTTTTATGTTTGAAGGAACATTAAATATTACTGTCAGATTTTTAACAAGTTGCTCAAAACAAAAGTATTGAATTACAAATTAAAATAAGAAGTAGATTTTCAAAAATATTTAATTGCATATTAAAAAATTCGTTATACAATAACTTTAATGTGCACTCATGTAATAAACAATTAATATGCGACAGATATCTAATTGTTAAGATATAAAACTTTTAAAAGGTTGGTATTAAAACTTACATAGTACCACACAAAATGTTTAATGAGAAAATTGAGGTCTGCTGAAACCACCAGAGAATAGATATTTACATTCTAAATTTAAAATTTAAAAATGAGTGTGTAAATATTTTCGTCCAAAGTGAGTGGTTTTAAAAAGTTAAATCGAAGAATTTCTTCGAGAAAATTTCTTATACACACATGCTAAATTATATTCACAAAATGCAAAAAAATTAAGTAACGAAGAGCAACATACACGATTATTTTTGTATTTAAATAAATATTTTCTTGGATGCAAAACCTGAGAAATAATTTTTTTTGCACCGTTGGTATGATAAATTTCACAGAAACGAAGAAATTAGGTTTTTAAAAACGAGAATAGTATTTTAAACCCATACGAAAATTTTTTACGAAAATTGTCCGCAAGAAAATGACAGCCAATATATTTTATTATATTAACTAATATCAATTAACTAATAATAACTAATATCAACTAATGTTAAAAAGGGCTTCACGGGCCGGATGCGGCACCGGGCCACTAGTTAGAAACCACTGATGTAGACCAAGAAAAGAAAAGTATAAAATAAATCGGAACTAACAGAAAAGTACACTTCATATTGGAATGACTACTTGCTAAGTGGGGAGGTGTCAAACTTTAAACTTCCCTGATTAATTTTTATGTACTTAAGTGTGAATAATACTTAACGCTTTAAATAAAATGAATCCTTAATGAAATATTAAGAATGTAATTTCTTTTTATCCAAATTATATTTAAAAAAATACAATAAAGGTTTTGGGACAATGCGAAATAGTAACTAATGTTCTAACGATAGCTCACGCATTTAGCACTGTAAGTAAGCCGCACTTTTTTTTCATCCAAGTTTCAGTCGAGAAATGATTTATTTATAAATAAAAAAAATTACAGAGCATAACAACAAAAATAAGTTTTAAAACAAACTTCTGAGGCATAAAATTGTGTTTCGGCTTTGTTTTTTTTTAATTTTTTTTATAATGAAAATTGCATTTTAGGTAAAAACGAAATAAGGAAACTTAACTTTCAAGAATTTGCCTAATTAAGAACACGGTGAAAAGAAATCCTGGTAAAAATACCGCACTGTATGGTAATAACATTTTTGCTTAAAAAATATATAATTTTGGTTAACAAAACTAAAATATACGGTTTTTAAATCATTCATTTGGTAATTTTTTTGTTCATAAGACAACTATTACAGATATTCCGGATTTCAAAATTATAGTTTTTATTACCACCCATTGAGTAAAAAGTACAAAACTTAAATGTAAATTAAACCGAATAAATGGTTTTCGCGCCATGCATTAGGGTATCATGATAAAACTACCAAATTTTATCATATATCATAAAATCATATTTTAATGTTTATTTTACCAAAATCAATACCTGAGAGCTTCGGTAATAATTACCGCGCTATGGAGAGGTGGTTAGGAACTAATGTCGTTAACAAGACCAGAAGAATCAGCCATCATTATTTATCAAGAATTATTTATTTAATAATATTATAACACTTTTTCTTTCGATAAGAACTATTCGCTTATAACCTTTCAATTCTTCCTAATCAATAGCTCAGTTTGTTTCAGCTTTTCGATGTCCTCCTGAAAAAATAATTTCCTTTCAGAAATTTGCAAGCATGTAAGGAATTTTAGGAATAACTTTAAGGAATTAAATTCGATTTTATTGAAAAAATATAATTAAAGCACCTATATTTTGAGTGCAAGCACTTAAAATAACTGTCAATCAAAAATAAGTAGTAGATAATTACCTTCATTATTCATATAG